TAATAATATTTAGCAAAAAAAAAGTTCCGAATATTAAATTTTGAAATTTATCGTTTATAATTTCCCGAAAATTTGTAATTTATCGTACCTTTTTAAATAATATTAGTATTTACCATGTAGTATTTGGGAAATTTCGGTTATCCGAGATGGAAATAACTTGGTTGTTTAGAGGCCAGTGCTGAAGGCGGTTTCAATTTATGACAGGAAATTTCCAGTATCGGAGATGCGACGAAATTTGTTGGTTACAAAATTGATTTTACTCCTGATATAGGTTAGACGGTGCCATCGAAGATAACGTATATATGTTTATTAAAAGCTGTAGAATATTAATATTTTGCACGCATGTAAAATAATGAAAGATAGAGAGAGACAAATTTATATTCAAAATCTAAATGAACAACATTGTTGTAAAATAAATTTGCGCATACAGCACATGGACAAAACCAGAGAATAAATTGATCGCGCAAATATACATTTATCGATTTAAGTAATATTCTATTATATTCATTTATTGTTAATTGTAAAAAATTAATGCACCTCAAATCTTGTTTTTAATATTTTTAGCACACAAGTATTATTTTACTTACATAAATAAACTGTGTGCTTGCGTAATTTTGAAATTGTTATATATATATTTACAAGATTAAAAATTTTCTACGGTTTCTGTGTATTTGCCCTTTTATATATGAGATTTCGAGTAGATGAAATGAACAATAAGAGTCAAAAGTTTTAAAAACGAGAAAAACTTTTTCCATTAAAGGTGCACGCAAAAGTGCATTGCAATATTATTAATCTGAGCACGTACCTTGGTCTTTACACGCAATAAACAGCTTAACAAGCACGCGCATTAAAAAGATAAATATATATATTAATTTTTATTATTTTTCTTTTATAAATATATTGCAGAATGACGATTCTGTTAATCATTTTTTAAAAATTTTGTTTGTAATTCACCAAAAATCTTTTTCCTTTTTAAATTTTTCTTCATTAAAATTTAAAAAAAAAGAACAGAAAAAGAAGCAGGTGAATAGTGCCTCCAATGAAGGTTTCCACCTATTACCACTCTTGAAGCAATCGATATCATTAAAAAATTTACAAAAAAATTGATTTTTTCTTAGACAGACGATTTTATTGCAAATACTTGCACAAAATACACCTAGAAATGTAGAAAAAGTTTGACAGACAAATCCAAATAGAGGAGGACCCCTTTTAGCACCTTTGAGTCACTTTTTTCATAGAAAAATTGACAAAAAAATTCAATTTTTCTTAGGCAGACTATTTTATTGCAATTTCTTGCACAAAATACACCTAAAAGTGTAGAAAAAAATTGATAGCTATTATTGAACCTAATTTGTTCTGGTTTGGCTCTACATTAAACCTATATTGATTCTACGTTGAAACTACTTTAGACCTAATTTGACACTGCGTTAAACCTACATTGAAGTTACTTTGAACCTAATGTAACTCTACATTGAACCTAATTTGACTCTACATTAAACCTATTTCACCTTAAGAGCAACTGTTGCATTGATTATTGTACACTAACACAGCATCTCAGACAAATAAGTGCAACAAGCTCAACATCAGACGGAATACTTCAGACAAAATATCTTTAAGTAACTTTAATATCAAAATAGTTTCTTCTTCAAAAACAAGTTCCGATAATAATAAAATTGCTAGTAAAGATTCGTCATTACTTTAGATATATATATATATATATATATAGAAAATGTTTTAAAAAGCTTTCTCGACAATCTTCAATTCGTTTCTAAATCGACTAAAACTTTTTTCACCAACTTTTACAACTAAGTCAGTTTGAAAGTAGAGGATGATTTTTCGACAAGTCTCTTAAGATAGTAGAGTTTGTTGTTGAAAGTTAGTAATACCCCTGACGAGCATTTGTCCAGTCAAAAGGAAAAGTTGAAGAGTCGTAAAGTGCACGCCAGGAATATATATCTATATATCTGTCTATATAGATAGGATGATAAAACAGCAAAGTACATTAAAGGCGATTGAAACCCGAGGATGACCTAAAAAAAAAATCTCTTTAAAAAAAAAAAAAATAAAATAAATAAATAACAAGAGAGGGACAACCACTGTGGGGGCATTAGGAGAAATTTTCCAACAACTTTTCAATTTGCTATGAGGCATTCTTTCGGATACGAAATACTTCCCAATTCATTGGATTTTCTGGTTCAGTCAACCGTGATAAATTTGGAATCCCAGAAGAGGCAGTGACGTTTTAAGCGAAATCACGTTTCCAAAGGGAGCCAATATAAAGCCTTTCAACCCTTCCCAAAACGAATTCCTCCCTCTCTCTGAATGAAAATCTTCAAACGTAAGGATTGCTGAAGGAAAACCCTTATTGGCTTTCTCAAATTTCAATCAGTGAATCCAATCGAGAAAAATAAATGTTTAAAGCATGACAATAAACACTATTTATTAAAACTAAATAATTTTTTTTTAAATTTTCTTTTAATATGATTTGTTTTTTTATTAATCAATAATATATTTATTATTAATCTGGTATTATTAAAAAACAAAATCTGCTTCTTTTTCTGTTACCAAAAAAAAATATTAGTATTTTTTTCCCCGCATAGTATTTTATTTGGAATGAAATTGCTTTTTGCTATTTAGCAAAATGAAAAACAAGTATCAAGATTGAGTTTCAGAGGCAAGACATTATTTTTGTGAATAAAATTAAGGAAACAACATCTGGCCGAAGTTGCTTTAAGGTTCATGGACTGTAACGTGACATCCAAGTGCTTTGAAACAACCTTCCTGATTCAATCTTGTATAATCTGCCTTCTTGCAAGATGAATTCACTGATTGTGCACTAAACCATAGTGACTCATTGCACATAATTACACATTGATAAATTCTCTCTTCACAGTGTTTCACACTATCGAATTAATATTAAGAAACTATTTTCCCTTAGTGCTTTCTTACAAGTGTTGTTATAATTATTATATTAATTATGATTAATTATAAATAAACATAATAAATAATATAATAATTGCTATAATACTTACTATGATAATTAATGTAATAATTAATATAATAATTAATATAATAATTAATACAAAAATAACTATAATAATTAATATAAAAATCTAATAATTTGCGCACCCAAAAATTTCCGCGTGTACTCGTTATTGATACCGGAAACGGAAGCCCGTAATAATTGATGCAATCATTAATACACTAATTATTATGATGATTACTATAAAAATTACTATAATAATTAATGTACTAATTAATACAATAATTATTATAATAATTAATATAATAATAAATACAATAATTACTATAATAAATACTATGATAATTACTATAACAGGTAATATAATAATTACTATAATAATTCCTATAATAATTCCTATGATAGTTCCTATGGTAATTACTATAATAGTTACTATAATAGTTACTATAATAATTACTATACTTGTTACTATGATAATTAATACAACAATTAATTATTAATACAATAATTATTATCACAATTACTATGATAATTACGATAATAGTTAATATAATAATTCCTATGATAGTTCCTATGGTAATTACTATAATAGTTACTATAATAATTACTATACTTGTTACTATGATAATTAATAAAACAATTAATTATTAATACAATAATTATTATCACAATTACTATGATAATTACGATAATAGTTAATATAATAATTCCTATGATAGTTCCTATGGTAATTACTATAATAGTTACTATAATAATTACTATACTTGTTACTATGATAATTAATACAACAATTAATTATTAATACAATAATTATTATCACAATTACTATGATAATTACGATAATAGTTAATATAATAATTACTATAACAATTCCTATGGTAATTCCTATGATAATTCCTATGATAGTTCCTATGATAGTTCCTATGATAATTACTATAATAGTTACTATAATAATTACTATACTTGTTACTATGATAATTAATAAAACAATTAATTATTAATACAATAATTATTATCACAATTACTATGATAATTACGATAATAGTTAATATAATAATTCCTATGATAGTTCCTATGGTAATTACTATAATAGTTACTATAATAATTACTATACTTGTTACTATGATAATTAATACAACAATTAATTATTAATACAATAATTATTATCACAATTACTATGATAATTACGATAATAGTTAATATAATAATTACTATAACAATTCCTATGGTAATTCCTATGATAATTCCTATGATAGTTCCTATGATAGTTCCTATGATAATTACTATAATAGTTACTATAATAATTACTATACTTGTTACTATGATAATTAATAAAACAATTAATTATTAATACAATAATTATTATCACAATTACTATAATAATTACGATAATAGTTAATATAATAATTCCTATGATAGTTCCTATGGTAATTACTATAATAGTTACTATAATAATTACTATACTTGTTACTATGATAATTAATACAACAATTAATTATTAATACAATAATTATTATCACAATTACTACAATAATTACTATGATAATTACTATAATAATTACTATAATAATTCCTATGATAATTCCTATGATAGTTCCTATGATAATTACTATAATAGTTACTATAATAATTACTATACTTGTTACTATGATAGTTAATATAACAATTAATAATTAATACAATAATTATTATCACACTTATTATAATAAATAATAATGAATCGCATTTGATATTAAAAAAATTAATGTTCTCTAAAAAATAAAAACTAGAAAATATCGAAACTTAAGATAATGGAGAGGCGAAAAAAGGTAGAGAGAATGAACCAATACATGTGGTAAAAATTGTCTGAACAGAGTAAAAGTCTTTTTAGTCAAGTCAGCAGATTGAATTAATTCATATCTGGGAATCGAGTAAATGTGCTTTTTAAATCACGCGGATGAAATAATTTTCAAAGTTTTTCGCTAATGTTTAAAGCAAAAAAAAAAAAAAATGAAAAAATGAAAAAATAAAAACTCACCACGAGAAGAATACATCGATTCTCGGACGTGACGCCTCCACAGCCGAGCCAGCTTCCAATTATGGCGAGAGTACCAGCAGCTATCAGCGCGTAAGCCAAAATCGGATACGTAGACGTTGCCATTAGTGAAATGTAACTGTGTTTTGACACAACAGTCCACACACCAATGCCACCAACCACCAGACCGGAAAGCTAAAACAAACAAAAGGGCCACCCTGGTTATGCACACATTTTGAATTATTCTAGAAATAGGATTACATGTGCAACAGCAGCAACAACAAAACAGTGTGTCCAGTGAACATTCACGGCAAATAGATTCACAATTTTTCACTCAAAAACATTAAATCATATAATCAAAAGGTAGAAGTCATTTTCACTCACTTTTTTTTTATTTTTTACAGGCAAATGCTATTAAAAAAGGACCATTTATATTTTTGATAGAAAAAACTGTTTCGATTGATCAAATATATATATATATAGCCTTAAATTTTGAGTGTAGAAAAAAATTTGCGAATGGAAATAAATAAAAGAATAAAGGGGTTCGAGTAATAAATAAGAATTTAGAGATAACAAATAAGCAGTGTAATATTGTGAACACGAAAATATCAAATGTATATATCGATATCTTGGGAACATATCCGGTTGGTGCATTGTTTTTTTTTTTTTTTTTAACTGAGAAGTAAGACCAAAGAGACCCCGAGGGAGTATATGTGAGGGCATAAAGTAATCTTGAGAACGCAGAACTTATGGCGGCGTAAATATTGTTCGATGGGATTTACGATATCGAGCCAAGAATTCCTCGTGATACACAAGAGGGAGAGCGAGTCTCTTGTGAATCGCACCTGAGGGAAAATAATCACAGCAGTAGTGTGTGTCGTCGCGTATTATAGACAATATAAACGCGCCGCGCTCATCCTTTTCATCTTCATCACATTTTTGCTTTGCGCGAAGATCGCATTTCATTTTTCATTATATATACTGCACAAGGCATCTGCCTTTACTTATTTAATTATAATATTTTTTTGTAAATAAATATTAGTATTTTATTCTTTTTAGGACCTTAATTTGAAATAAATATTTTTAAGTTTATGGCCTTAAGTCCTAATGAACTGCGTTCGCAACGAAAATGCATTAGAGAGAAAGAAAATAAAGACTAAATTTTTATACATCTAAAAGTTTTAAACTTTTTTAAATTTTTTACACTTACGGACCTAAGGCTATAAACTTAAAAATATGTAAATAAATATTAAAATTAGTTTGTTATATAAAATTAACGTTGTGCATTTAGATGTTTAGAATTTTTAGGCCTTTCAGCATTTGTATTGATTTTAGATCTGTTGTTTAGGATGTACAGTACTTTGGATTTTTAGTTCGTTTGGTTTTTATTTCTTTGAAAATTTTGTTACGTATCGGATTTCCAGTACTTTAAATTTTTCTACTTTTGGATTTTAGTCTTTTGGAGCTTCGTATTTTTGGATTTTCAGATCTGTTGTTGTTTAAGGTGTTCAGTACTTTGGATATTTGCACTTTTGGATTTTTAGTCCTTTGGACAGTTTGGTTTTTATTCCTTTGAATATTTTGTTACGTATCGGATTTCCAGTATTTTAAATTTTTCTACTTTTGGATTTTTAGACCTTTGAGCATTTGTACTTATTGATTTTAGATCTGTTGTTGTTTAAGGTGTTCAGTACTTTGGATATTTGCACTTTTGGATTTTTAATTCCTTTGGACAGTTTGGTTTTTATTCCTTTGAATATTTTGTTACGTATCGGATTTCCAGTATTTTAAATTTTTCTACTTTTGGATTTTTAGACCTTTGAGCATTTGTACTTATTGATTTTAGATCTGTTGTTGTTTAGAATATTCAGTACTTTGGATTTTTAATACTTTGGTTATTTGGATTTGTAATTATTTGTACCATCTGTTGTGATCTTTTGTACTTCGAGATTTTTAATCTGAACATTTTGGAGATTTTTTGAACCCCAATTTCTAACCAATCTTTTAAATCTTTGAATGAATATTTTGTTCTCTGTTATTACGAAAGATGATATACAGAATTAATAAAAGAATTCTCAAGCATGAATTAATTGAGGAATATATTCGAGTTGCATGCACACACGCGAGGCAAAATGTTCATTGAAACGATTCACCTATGAACTATAGGAGTAATGCCACGCTGATTACACCTGTGCACTGAAGGACTGCACCGGCTGGTGAAATAGTTGGCAAACTACACGGTGCCAGGTGGAACATAGTACCTTTTACCTTCCGTTATATATATATGGAGAGAGAGAGAGTGAAAAGGTAAAGGTACCCTTACGGGTGGTATACGGATGTATATGCTAATCCATACCAACTCGATAGGCAAAGTTTCCGTGAGAAGGTGTCGAGTTCAGAGAACAAGCTACTGGTAGTCAAATTTAATTTAGAGGCTCTCTTCGTTAAACATTATGTACTTTCTGCTTCCGCTTCGGTTTTAACGAAAACGGATATGTAAAGCAGCTTCTTTGAGAATGTTGTGTAAACTTTGAAATTTTCTTCTTCTCTTCATCTCACGATGCTTCTAAAGACGCATACATATACACATTTTCTTCTAATTACTTTTGCTTTCGTATTTGTTTTAGGCGACATGTTTCCTGACAACAATGGTTTAAATTGCATTTTGATATTTAAGTAATTTTCATTGTCATTGGCAAAAATAGTTTCAGAATTAAAAAGGAATGACATTTTTCTTGTAATTAATATCATTTCTTTTTCTGTCACATTTGATAAAAGTTAATTTGACGAGAATCTAATTGGAATTTCTTCGGGTCGGAAAGTATTCTCTCAATCAAAGACAGATTGTAACATCTGCATTTTCCAGTAATCAATATTCTCTATTCCAACTGTGAAGTAGTCTGAAAACTTTCCTTCCTTCGATTCTTTAATTTATTTGAATCACACCTAAATTAAGAAGACTAAAACGTCTCTTTGTAGCATATTTCTAATTATTTAAATGATGAATTATCTAAAAGAATTTTAAATTTTCCTTTTTTTTTTAAATAAAAAATTTTAGAAAAATAATTGAATGGAAAATTATAATACAGTAGCTGTGAATCAACGTGTGGAGCCTGATTGAAGAGGGGAAAAAAATAAACTTGACTATAAACACGTATGCCTTATCAACGACATTATTTGAAAGTTAACTTGAAAAGGTTTATGATGGGGGAGTGCGTGTGCCCGAAACGTGTCGAGGTTCATAAACGAGGTAAATGAAAAAAAAAAAGATCCGTAAACGAGTTGCCTTGATTGAGGACCGTTATATCTCTCAACCTTGTATTGCCTTGCCGCAGCAGCAGGAAATCTGGAGATGGCAAGGACAGGTTTTTTGGAATTCGAGCGCTCAAGTGTCCCTTAACGCCCACGCTTCTTATCTTTCGAAGGTCTCGGTTCTCCACAACGACACGGAAAATAAAGTCTTTAGGTGTAAAATCAAACTGACTTTTATAGGCATTCCTCTCTTTCTCTCTCTCTCTCTCTCTCCCGAAATTTAAACTTTTACTCATCTCTGTGGGTGGTGATTTAACCTTTTTTTTTCCAAAACTTTCACATTTTTTTTTTTTAATAAATAAAAAAAATCTATGAGAGAAAGAAAATATATATATATATATATCTATTTTGAACAAAATTGATTTTTACGATAAATATTATCGTGGTTTCAAAGGATGTAAAAATATTAACAGTTTATCTCTTGTGCTTTTGCCTCGTCTTTAGAAACATCTGAAAGCTTTTCAAAGCGAAAATGCATCATTAGTGAATGCATCAAGCATGCTTTTGGTAACATTATTAGAAAATAATAAATTCGCAAATTAAACCATCGTTAGAGTCATAAACTGCTTAATGAAGCTATAATACTAAAATAATGATTTTAAACCCATATTCACTTTATATATACTTTCTATATCGAGGATTTAATTTATAATTATCTTCATTTCAACTGTTTATACAATATAAGCTTATGGAATTTGTTTTTCTGAACGTTTTGTTTCTAATCAGAATATATTTATCGAAAACGCAACAAATATCAATGCTTTGGAAATTTTTAACTTAAAATTAATTGAAGGAAATTTCTCATTAAGCACATCCTATCATAAATCACATGAAGCATAAACATTAAACATTTCTCTCGGTGCATATTATACAGGGAGTACTTATCGCTAAATGTATCCTAGTTTTCACGCGTCCTAAAGTGATTTATTATTCTCTATGCTTTCGTACATCCGCTCATATCCTACATATATATATATATATATATATATATATATATATATATGAAATGTTTAAACACATTGAGGTGTGTTAAATAACGTTCGTATTGGTGTAAACAGTGCAGTGTATAAGGGAGTAGCTTGCACAAGGTGAAATGGCAAGGATGCAGCGAATTTAAGCTCAAACGCACAAATACATATATTTTATATGTATGTATGTTTAACCACGTGTTCGTGATGGAAGAGGAGGTCCTTCCTCTTTAGAAAGTGGCTATCAGAATGTGTAGATCCTGAATTCTACCACTGACAAAGAGAACCCGAATTCTATACCCTGAGAATCATTCAAATATTCATGATGCCTATTCGTGCAGTTTCATAATATGGATCCTTTGCTCAATGCGGTACATCTTTAGAAAATCTGATATCAAAACACCTGCTTTTCATTAAAACAATCTTTTATCCCCGTCATATTTCATTCTTTATATAATATAGACCAATTGAATTTCGTTTTTCATGATTTTCTTTATAGATAAAAATTATTGTACCATTAATTAAAATTATGTTTTTGCAATTTAATTTCAATTGTTAATATGTTTTCTAATTTATTTGTACAAAGCTTTCTAGAAAAACTAGAACTACAGCAGAAAATTAATTTTCATTCGCAAAAGAATTTTAAATACTGAAACTACAAACAGCTACTAATTTCAGTATACAAATAGCACTACTGTAGAAACAATTTGTAGTTTTTGTTTTTATATTAATATTTTCAAATTACATATGGTTAGAGAAATTTTCTAACCAAAAAAAATTTATGCAGTTTATTTAATGTAAAATAAAAATACTAAGAGAAAAAAATAGTATTCTTTTTTCTGATAAAAAGTTTCGTTTGACACACTAGAATAGCGACTGTAGATATTCAACAGGCACAATGATCTACTTTTACAA